AAGCTAAAGACATTGTTTAGTGACTGAAGATTAAAATTACTAACTGAGTAAAATATGGTACATTAATACAAGGTGATATTTTTATATATTCATTAATGTGAGGCTAAGGGATTTTATTCATTATTGTTGTTTTTATTTTTGACAATATGATAAAATGCTTAAGCTATTAAATGGCAAGAATGAAGCTTAGCATGACATAAGATATATTACAAATTTTAACCCTGTGTGCCTTCTGGGTTTTTTCTCCCCAACATCTTATTACTACTCCTACTCAGACTATATAGTTCTTGCCATTCGGCTACCCACTAAACATAATTATAAATAAACAAACAAACTTAATAGTAAAATACATCTGAGGAAGTAAAAAAATTTAACTTGTTTTTTGATATCTACCTTCATTTTTTAAATTTTCTTTCTGAAAGTCTATTTTTAGCACAATGTTTTTGCAAGTACTCTTGGCAAATTCTTACTCTACTGATTTGGGTAATCTCACATTGTTTGCACTCGTTTCTGTCTTCTCTAAAAACTAGCAAGAGCAGTGTCACCAAGGTGTGGGCCATCCGTAGTATGAGAAATCTCAGTGAGTTTTCCTTAATTCCTAGACTCCTCTCAACTTTTGTTTTTATGTCCACACTAATGCTAGGGCTTACTATTGTGTTTAGAGATGTGGAAGATGGGTACATAATTAATTTGAGTAGAAAAGGTTAAAAAACAAAACAAAACAAAATTTGGGGCCTTTTTATTACAGGAAAAGTGGCTCAGTAGGAGGGTGTGAGTGAGATCAGAGTGTCAGGGTTGGAGAAGCTTCATATATTCAAGTTCCCCGTATTTTGTCCATATTGATGAGTCATGCATTAATGTTCTTTGGTTAATTTCTTCACCATTTTTCATCCAGTCACCCCACTGTCCCCATTTTTTTTATTAAAAAAAATTTTTTTTTTTATTTTTAGTGAGAGAAGGCAAAGGAAGGAGAAAGGAAGAGAAACATTGATGTGAGAGAGAAACATTGATTGCTGTGTGTCATGACTGTGGACTGAACTGGCAACACAGGTATGTGCCTTGACTGGGAACCGAACTGACGATATTTTGGAATGCAGAACAATACCCAATCAACTGAGCCACACTGGGCAAGGCTTCCCTTAGTTCTTAATGTAAACTTACCCAATTCTTTACCTGTGGTACTTTGTTTTGCCACTCGTATATCCCTAGTACAGTTTTCTGGACACTCAATAAATATTGGTTGACTCACTAGCAGAAGCATCCACATCACTCTGTGCTTCAGTGCTCATGACTATGTTGCTTTGTTTGTTTAAGTAACCTTTTTATGATAATCAAAATAATAAAGAAAATTGTAAATATAAACATTTTACAAAAAATTACTAAAAAAATAGCCATTGTTAATGTTTTGATATTAATCTTTCCAAATTTCTTATGTGCAAATTTTCAAGAATTTTTTTTCAAAATTTGCTTTTTTTTTTTTACTATTATTTATGGATATGTTTCCATGTCATTAAACATTTTTTTACAACATAACTTATGGCCAAGTAATAACCTAACTTACGGATGTTCTATAACATATTATTGTACAATGAGGTTGTTTTCAAGTTTTCTTTGTAATAAATAATCCTAAAATGAATTAATGTGTAATATTTTGTCCATTCCCATTACTTAAATCACTCAACAAATATTTATCAAGTATCCATCATTTGTCCCTCCCCTTTTGTAACTTGTATTCTAGTGACTCAGAATAATATTTAGTGAAATTGCTGTTTAAAAAACAAAACATAAATAGTTTTTAAATTTATTTTTAGAAATTGTTGCAAAATGCACACAATATAACCTTTATTGTTTTAGTCATTTGTTCAGTGGCATTAAGTATATTCACATTGTGTTACTATCACTACCACTGAGCTCTAGAACTGTTTACATCTTGCAAAGCAGAAACTCTGTGTCCATAAAACAGTAACCCCATATGCCCCTAACCCCTAACAATCATTTTACTTTTTGTCCCTATGAATTTGACTACTCTAGTTACGTCATATAAGAAGGTGAAAGGTTTAAAAACTTTTAATATATATTGTAAACTTTCCTCTCTTTTAGTTGTATTAATGTATACCCATGTATACCCCAGAACTGAGTATAATAATGCTCTTTTCTTTGTTTCCTCATCTACATCTTTTTTTCATTTTGCTGATTGGATACACAAATTTTTAAAACTATTAAAGTTGAATATTTCTCATGCTTATGATCACAGTAACTTGCCTGGTGTGATATATTTCTCATTTTATTGATTAGAAAACCAAAGGCTAGAAAGACAATTTGTCCAGGACCCCATAGCCAGTAACTGATAAAGCTAGGATTTTTATATAAGCCCATGACTTCAGAACCAGTTCTGTATTAGCCATTTTGCCTTGCTTTGATTTTCTAATTTGGGCTAAAAGTCCAGAATTACTGTGCTTTTGTTTGTAGAATCCTAAAAGAAAATCTAATTCAATGCTGTGATTTTAGAGAAAGAAAAGAAGGCCTAAATAGGTTAGCTTTTTATGACATCTCATATCATTCATAGCCTTCTATTAAAAAAAATTTTTTTTCCAGCCCTGGCTCAGTTGGTTAGAACATCATCTAGATGTGCCAAGGTTGCAGGTTTGATCCCTGGTCAGGGCACATACAACAATCAACCAATGAATGTGTAAATATTAGAACAACAAATCAATGTTGTTTTTTTCTCTCCCTCTCCCTTCCTTTCTCTCTAAAATCAATAAATAAAAATTTTTTAAAGAAAGGACTGAGTGATTATCCCAAGATCGCATGGCCATCGGAGGAGCTTTAATTAACTCACACCCTCTCCTGATTTGGTGCTTTTCCTGCTATATTAGGTGACTGCACACTCTCAATTATTGCTTTCTTTCCCTTGATCAAATCCTATTTTAATAAATAATTATGATAATAATAATTAATATTGGCTAACTTTTATCGAGTGCTTCTTATTTGGCAGACATTGTCCTGAGCCTTGCATACACATTTTCTCATCAGATCCCCTCAGCACCTTAGCAAAGAATGTTTTATTCTCACTTTACAGTTGAGCGACTTGTCTGTGATCATACAACTACTAAGTGGTGGAACCAGAATATAAACAAGTTAGTCTGATTTCTGACTTTAAGACAGGAAAGCTAAATAAAATGCAACCCACACTTATTCTGAAAACAGGTGGAAATTATAAATTAAAAGTATTAACTAGGATGCAAGTAGAAAGAGATAGGAGAAATGGGAATGGAAAAAAGTTGTCTATCTGGAAGAGGGAGACCTCTGGGAATGGCACCAATTCACTCATTCACTCATTTATTGCATACATATTAATTGAACATCTACTACCTCCCAGACACTTTCATTGACAGTAATGTCAGAGGAAAAGATCCAGTAGAGATACTTAAAGGAAACAACATGATTCCAGTCCTCAGTGACTATATAATCTGGGAGGGAAATGGGCAGAACACAGTGAAATGCACTGAGAAGTGCTATAATGGATGCCTACTCGAGACTCAGTGAGAGAAAGAAGCCTCTCAATCTATTTTAGAAGGTCAAGTAAGTCTTTGCAGTAGAAGAGACCTTTGAACTTGGTCTGTGCAAAAGCTCTGAGATGAAATGAGCTCATAGTAGAACTACAAATTTGTCATTATTGTTAGAGCGTTAACAATGATGATGGTGGAAGGTAGGAAATGAGGCTGGCTAGGAACATGGGTGCCAACCCAAGAAACGGCTGAAATGACAAGCTGAAGAGTTCACATTTATCCTGTAGATGATGGGAAATGATTATGTATTAGATGCATTTTTTTCCTTTGGGAGAAACAAGTTTTTATAACAGATGGTATAAAATAATGTAAGGGAATAAAGTCCCTGTTCTCAAAAAGCTTGAAAATGATTTTGGCAACAGAGAAGCTAATTGGAAATAGCACCAATTAATATATTCACTTATTTATTGCACATATATTTACTGAATGCCAGATAGTTTCATTGGCAGTGGAGTCAGTTAGAGGAAAAGATCCAGTATTTGAATATCTCTCAGTACTTTGTCAAAACAAAACACAACCAAACCAAAGATTTATTTTTGTTACCCTAGTTAAACTTCTCAATAACCTCCATGTCTTTTCACATGTATTCCTTCAGCCCTGAATACTTGTCTTACTGAAAAATGTCTACTTAAACTTTGAAGCTATCTCTTCTGAGAACACCTTGCATGTACTTATCATTTGGCAGGCATTGTGCTGAGCACTTTAAATACATCACCTTATTAGATTTTTATGACAAATTAAAAGGTCAGTTTTTATTCCAGTTGAGAAAACAAAAATTTAGGAACGTTAAGGAATATGCCCAATGTCGGATAGCTAATAAGTAATGGAATCAGGCTGAACCCAGTCAGTCTGATTTTTGACTTTCATCAGGAAGGGCAAAGTTAGATGACCAAAATTCAGTCCTTCAGCACTGACAACTGATGGAAAGTGTAGATCAGCTTCCTCGGGAGAATTTCTTGCTCCCTGGTTTAATTTTCCACATTACTATGGATGCAGTCTAATAAAAATCTACCTATGTATTTGGCTAATTATGGTATGAAAGACTAGACTTTGAATTAGGTAGTACTACGTTCTTAGCCCTTGTCTCAACACCTTGCACATAATACATGCTTAATAAATGTTTGTGAAATGAATAAATGCATGCCTCCTTTCCACATCGTCTGTTGCTGACAAACTTCACATTGTTGTAGAGTTAGGCCCACGCACTGGTAACCTTTGCTTTGTGTGCTTATTTTCTGGAACAGTAGACCTAGGGAAGAAGAAAAAAAATTCTTTCCTTTCACATCCAATTGCCTTTGAGGAGCTGGGAAGAGAGCAATTCACACTTGATTATCTTACATCAGATAAATTAGCAGTGCCTGAATTGCTGGGAAGTCAGGAGCTAGAGCTCTCTTCAGCCTGACTAGCCCGCTTTGTCTCAGCTCAGAGGCCATGCTTCCTCCCCTGCCAGCCTTGGCTCTCAGCCTCTTGTTAACTCTGGCCTTGGGCCAGACATTGCAATTTCAAGAACATGACTTTCTCCAACTTCTAGGTTTAGACAAGGTGCCTTCACCCCAGAAATTCCAACCTGTGCCTTATATCTTGAAGAAAATTTTCCACGATCAAGAGGCAGCAGCCACCATCGGGGTCTCACAAGACTTATGCTACATAAAGGATCTGGGAGTCCGGGGGAACGTACTTCGACTTCTGCCAGATCAAGGTAAGGATACTGGAATATTTCCCACAGAAAAATCTGACTTTAAAGGGTGTGAAGGAAGGAAAGAAGAGAAGTAACAGTGACTGAGGGGTTCATAGAAGGTCTTGTTGCTGGTACTTTACATATTTTGTCTCATTTAATCCCAATAACTACCCTGAGAGGTAGGCTTAGACAGTAGATAGCCTGTAGTATATTCAAGATCAAACAGGTAGTGTGTGAAGAAAGTCAGGATTCAAAATAGGTCTCCCTGCTCCCTGCCCCGCTGAATCAACAGCTTTGTGCTGCAGTTTAGGTAGGAGGGGTGAGGGTAGAATTAGGACTCAGTCTTCTACTCTTTAGCCCACAATATATGTATCCTGGAGTCTTTGGTATGACAAGCAGGGTACAAAAATTTTAAACTCAGTTTGCCCATGGATCTAGCTTCTCTTTGCCTTATCTCCCCTCCACTTTTGTTGGGTGGAAAAGGCTATTCTTGACTTACAAATACAGAGCAATAACATATGCCACTGCTATACTCTATATAAGGATCTGAGAGAGTTTCATTTAATAATTTACCAAACTAATCACCCACCAAAATGACCCAGATCAACTGTGAAAAGTTTATTCTCTTGCCCAGTTCCTGCCCTTCACTCTCCCATCCAATTCTTATTTAAAGTCAAAGATGAGTGTTGTAATCTGCATTTCCATATGGCCTCCCAAGTGGTTCAGAGGCGGCATTGAGACCCCTAGCTGGTTAGTTTTACAGCAACTGAGGATTTAGAATTGAGTATTTATTTATTCAAGAAGCATTTGTTTGATATCTACTGTGTGCCAGGAACATTGTATGGCCTTGAGAATACAGACATTACAGTTAAAATCTCTTCTGCAAGTTTATAGAAGGCAGGCAGACAAACAAATGCCTTCCATGCATACATTGTACTAAGTATTACATTAGAGGCTTGGGGCCTTGGGGGTGTGGGCTCAGGGAAAAGTTCTGAACAGTTAAGAGATAACGAGGGTTTTTCTTGGAAAGAGTAGAAAACAGCTGGGGTTACATCCTTCCTTCCCCAATGGAAAAAAATCTTTGATTTTTATGATAATAATTTTATCAAATAATGGTGGGGGGAGGACAGACTCTCACTATCATCCCTCCCTAACCCTTCCTCTATAGAAAACCACCAGTGTTGTATATTCTTCCAGACTTTCTTTTGCATATATATAATATAAACATGAAATTTTAAAAAATAGGGTCATGTTATAGAGTCCTTTAGCATTATAAACATCTCATACAAGCCAAAACAAATAGCTAATTTTCATTTTAATGGTTGCATGATATTCCATTGTATAGGTATGCTGTAATTTATGTAGTTAGTGCCCTGTTGATGGGCATAGATATATATTAATAGTGCAGCTTTACATCCACTTTTTTGAGTGTGTGCACATTTTCAATTATTTCCCTAGGATAAATTCTTGGAAGGGGATTGTTGGATCAAAAAGCAGGCACATTTATACTTTTTAAAAAAATTATATTGTATTGATTATGCTATTACAGCTGTCCTGATTTTTCCCCATTTGCCCTCTTCCACCCAGCACCCTGACTCCCTCAGGCAATCTCCTCACCATTGTTCATGCCCATGGGTCATGTGTGTAAGTTTTCTGGCTCCTCCATTTTCTATATTGGACTTTACATCCCCATGCCTATTCTATTTGTACTTCTTTTTTTTTTTTTTAAAGCTTTTCAAATGATTATTTAATTGGGAACTACTTTAAGATATACAAACACATTACAGTGCCACTAGCAACAGGAAACCAAACCTCAAAGGCAGTTTTATAACTTTATTTGACAATCAGCAGTTAGTTCTCATCCACATTAACTATTTGTAGGTTTTTTGAAAGTGGTGACAAGTACGTACGTGACCCACGTATAGAGCTTGTTTGGTGAATCTTCATCCTCATTTCGTTTTCTGGACAACTGCACCTGCGTAGGGTATGGGACATTCCTTATTCCTTTGGCCCAGAGGGCTTTGTTGAGCCTCGTGTCCATGTGCCCATGTGGAGTTCCCATCTCCATGGTAAATTTCAGATCTCTTTGAGTGCCCAAGGGGCGCGCTTCTTGAAGCCCAGTCCGTGGATGCGCTTATGGATGTCGATGGTGTACTCTCTGGTCACGGCCTCGTTGATGGCAGAACGGCCCTTCTTCTCGCCACCCTTCTTTGTGGGAGCCATTATGCTGGGCCCAGGTTGGAAAGTACCTATTTGTACTTCTTAATCCCTTCACCTCTTCACCCATTCCCCCACACACCCTCCCATCTGGCAACCATTGAAATGCTTTATAGCTATGATTCTGTCTCTGTTCTAGTTTGCTGTTTTTTTTTTAAATTCAACTGTTGATAAATATGTATTTATTGTCATTTTATTATTCATAGTTTTGATCTTTTTCTTAAATAAGTCCCTTTAACATTTCAAATAATAGTGGCTTGGTGATGACGAACTCCTTTAGTTTTTTTTCTTGTCTGGGGAGCTCTTTATCTGTCTTTTGATTCTAAATGATAGCTTTGCTGGGTAGAGCAATCTTGGCTGTAGGTCCCTGCTTTTCATGACTTTGAATGTTTCTTGCAAATCCTTTCTAGCCTGCAAAGTCTCTTTTGAGAAATTAGCTTACAGTTTTATAGGAACTCCCCTGTAGGTAACTAACTTCTTTTCTCTTGCTGTTTTTAAGATCCTTTCTTTATATTTAACCTTTGGCATTTTAATTATGATGTGTTGTGGAGTGTGCCTCTTTCATACATCTTGTTTGGGACTCTCTGTGCTTCCTGGACTTTCATGTCTATTTCCTTCACCAAATTAGCGAAGTTTTCTTTCATTATTTTTTAAAATAGATTTCCAATATCCTGCTCTTTCTCTTCTTCTGAAACCCCATGATATGTATGTTGGACCTCTCAAAGTTGTCCCACAGGCTGCTTATACTATCCTCATTTTTTTTTTTTTTGATTCTTTTTTTTTTCTTGCTGTACTGTTTGGTTGCTTTTCTCTTCCTTTTGTTCCAAATCATTGATTTGATTCTTGGCTTTATCCACTTTTCTGTTGTTTCCCTGTAAATTGTTCTTTATTTCAATTAGTGTATCCTTCATTTCTATCTGGATCTTTTATATGCTGCTGAGGTCCTCATTGTTCCTTGAGCATCCTTAAAACCAGTGGAACAAGCCCCAGCAACTTCTTCTACCAACTCAGTCCCCAGTGGTTTTTGCAGCCAGAAGTTGTGGGGACTTATCTTTCTGGCACTGGAACCCTGGGCTGGAGGGACCTGGTATGTGGTGGCCGCTCTTCACTCCCAGGATATCTCTCCTAAATTTTTATCTACCACATGTGGGTGTGTGACCAGCCCATTCTGCACCCTTCCTAGCAGCCTGGATGGATGTGGTTTCTTTGATTCCATAGTTGTCAGACTTCCACTCAACTCAATTTCTGCTGGTTCTGAATGATGGTTGCTCTATATTTTAGATGTAATTTTGATGTGGTTGTGTGAAGAGGTGAGTCACATCTTCCTATGCTGCCATCTTAAATACTTTCAATATATACCACACATCCTCCAAAATTTATACCCCACCATGAGTGTTAGGGAATTCTCACTTCCCCACAATTGATGCAGTCTTTTTTTTAAAAAAAGATTTTATTTATCTATTTTTAGAGAGAGGGGAAGGGAGGTAGAAAGAGAGAGAGAGAAATATCAACATGTGTTTTCCTCTCAAGTACCCCCTACTGGTGACCTGGTCCACAACCCAACCAATGACCTTTTGGTTCACAGGCCGGCACTCAATCCACTGAGCTACACCAGCCAGGGTGGAATGATGTCTTTTAAATGAATACTTGAACTATTCATATTTACTTTTCCAACAGTTGCTATATAGATTATATATGATCCTTTTCCTATTGAAGATTTTTCATTGTTCCTAATTATTTGTAAGGCCTCTTAATCATTCAAAAAGTTCTTTATAGTCGTGAATTTTATCTTGTCATGTATATTATAAGTATTCTTGGTTGTTCTTTGTGTTATTAATTTTTTTAATAATGTATTTTGAATATAGAAGTTTTTCATTTTCATTTTTTCAAATCTGTCCATCTTTTCCATTTTAGCTTTTGAGGTTTGTTTTTTTTTCAAGCCTAGGGGATGTGATTTAGTGATAATAGTAAAAAAGGAGACCAATGTATTAGAATTAGAGCCATAAACAGGACAAATCAACTGTTCAGAGAAGATGAAAAGGATAAGTCCATGAAAAGACCCGAGTCTGATAGTTGACAACCTTTCAGAATGATGTTTCAGTGGAGTGTAAGGGCAACAGTTGGAAAATAACAGAAGGGTATGAGTAAGAAGTAGAAGCAGAGGCAGAAAATGTAGACTGATCTTTTTAAAAGATGGTCAATGGAAAGAAAGGGAGAGATGATACACTGGGCTTAAAAAGAGAACTGGGTAGTTTTAAATGCTTTTTAATATTGTTATTTTTAAAATGAGACTGCAGAGTGAAGAGGCATTGTGGTGAGATGGTTAGACTGTTTGGGTTTTTGTTATAATTTTTCCACAAAATCTGAATGACCTTAGAAAATCCTTACTTATTGTGGAGCCACCCAACCAAATACAATGGTGGCATTAGGCCAAAGAAGTTATTCATGGTTCATGGGGAAGGGGAAATTGAAGATGCAAAAAAGTAAAAACAAACAAACTAACAAACAAACAACAGCAACAAAATTATAAAGGTAAAAGTATTGCCTTGGCTGGTGTGGTTCAGTGGATTGAGTGCCAGTTCGATTCCTGGTCAGGGCACACGCCTGGGTTGCCAGCCAGGCTCCCAGCCGGAGCATGTGAGAGACAACCCATTGATGTGTCTCTAGCACATCGATGTTTCTCTCCCTCTCTTTTTCCCTCCCTTCCCCCTCTCTAAAAATAAATAAAATCTTAAAAAAAAAAGTAAAAGTATACTCTATTGGACCTTTTCCTCAAGGAATAGATGAGATTCAAAAATCCAGCCAGAGAACTTGTCTTTGAAAATAGGGGAAAATACATCTACAATTTCAAAAGATACAGAGAAGAGGGTCCATGTGGAGAAATTGAAGAATCACATTGCCCCTCAGTATTCGGTGAGGTGGGAGAGGAGGTCTTCAGAGATACAAGACTAGAAATCGTTGATATTGACAATGGTGGGCTTTAGGTAAAGAATTACCTAGAGATAAATCATAAGAGATTTCTGGAGGGTCAGTCTTAGCTGGATGACAGGACTTTGTTTTGAAGTCTAGTGGTTAGATTTTGATCAGCAGCACCTGAGCCTAAGATGTTCTTAAACATTTTTGTGCCATGGGTCTCTTAGGCTGTTCTGTTGAAGCCACTGGACCCCTTCTCAGAATAATGTTTTACATGCCTCCAATAAAATATTTAAAATTTCAAAAGAAATTAGATATTGAAATACATTTAGAAAAATATTTTTTACCACAAATGCATATATAGGAACATATATGGTGCATTATTAATGTAACAAATATGAGTAACAAGATCTACAGAAGGGACTATAACTACCATAAATTCAAAGTAGTGTGAGCATATTATTTTAAAATATTTGCAACAACTTAATGTATAACAAAGCTATTTTTTTTTATTGGTAACAGTGTCCTGTCCCATAATATATTTGGTCCGTAATATATTGGGATTTGTGGCTCATTTTCATAATTGAAAGAAAGGCTAAATTTCATTTAGAGTTTAGTAAAAATAAAGATGTAATTCTTTCTCCCATCCATGGTCATGGACTTTGTAAACTGTGTACAAGTCCCCTTGGGCACCTGCACATGTGGAGATAAGGCCTTTGGCCTTGTGCTTGCTTTGTTAGCACATATACTAAAAGTTGGAATGATACAGAGAAGATCAGCATGGCCCTCGTGCAAAGATGACATACACATTTGTGAAGCGTACCACATCTTTAAGGGGATTAAGAAGTACAAAATGCCAGTTATAAAATTAGTCATGGGAATGTAATATACAGCATAGGGAATATAGTCAATAAAGTCATAATTGCTATGTATGGTGCCAGCTGGGTCTAGACTTATCTTGGTGATCACTTCATGAGGTATATAAATGTGAAATTGCTATGTTGTGCACCTGAAACTAATATAATATTTTATGCCAACTGTAGTTAAAGAAATAAATTAAAAAGTGAGGAGTGAAAGAAATAAATCTTCCGAAATGGTAGAGTTTGCGTGTAACTGATTATATCCTGCCCTTACTTCGTATATATGACATACATATAACATTTGTCATTTATATCATAGGCGGATATAAAGTAAAATATATTACTATTATGGTGACACATCTCTCTGTTCCTGTCTAGGTTTCTTTCTTTACTCCAAGAAGCTTCCCCAAGCTTCCTCTTGCCTACAGAAGCTCCTCTACTTCAACCTGTCTGCAGTTAAAGACAAGGAGCAGTTAACAATGGCCCAGCTGGGCCTGGACTTGGGGCCCAACACTTACTATAACCTGGGACCAGAACTGGAATTGGCTTTGTCCCTGGTTCAGAAGCCTCATGTGTGGGACCAGTCCATCCGTAAGCCAGGGAAAGTGTTTGTATTGCAGTCAGTACCGTGGCCTCAAGGTGTCCTTCACTTCAACATACTGGATGTGGCTAAGGATTGGAATAATAACCCTCGGAAGAACATAGGTTTGTTCTTAGAGATACTGGTCAAAGGACACAGAGACTCAGGGGTGAATTTTCAGTTTGAGGACACCTGTGCCCGACTGAGGTGTTCTCTTCATGCTTCCCTGATGGTGGTGACCCTCAACCCTGATCAGTGCCACCATTCTTCCCGAAAAAAGAGGGCAGCCCTCCCTGTCCCTAATGTTTCTTGCAAGAACCTCTGCCATCGTCACCAGCTCTTCATCAACTTCAGGGACCTGGGCTGGCACAAGTGGATCATTGCCCCCAAGGGGTTCATGGCAAATTACTGCCATGGAGATTGTCCTTTCTCATTGACCACTTCCCTCAACAGCTCCAATTATGCGTTCATGCAAGCACTGATGCATGCTGTTGACCCAGCAATTCCCCAGGCTGTCTGTATTCCCACCAAACTGTCCCCCATTTCCATGCTTTACCAGGACAATGATGACAACGTTATTCTACGACATTATGAAGACATGGTAGTTGATGAATGTGGGTGTGGGTAGGCTGTCAGAAATAGGAATCGTAGGAGTGTTCTTAGGGTCGAGCTTTTAATAAAACTACCTATCTGGTGTATGACCTGTTGGATATGAAATATCAATATGTTTGTGTTTACAATTTGTCTTCCTGGAAAATCTATCATGACTGATGATGTCCCAAATTACATACGTACACTTACACAAAGCCTTAATGATCATAAGGTTGTTTTTTTTTTTAAATCACCAATATCTACATAGTTAATTTAATGGCTGAATTACATATGATTATTTAGATACATATTTTTAGTTAAGAAAATGTTCATGATTGGGCATTGTGTTTGCGATTTTCATGGTAGACTAGTGGCATGGCTCTTTGTTCATGTATCATGTTTATATCTTAGAAAAATTTCAGACATGGGATTATGAAGTTAAAAGTATAAATGGACTCTTCTATAATTAATATATATTCATATTAGAACAAACATGCATGTGTTATGGGGTAAAATGCAAACTTCACATGGACTTCAAATATAAAATTCTACACAGAGCAGGATAATTTGGATTATATCAAGAAATATAAAGTTATTTACCTTTCATTAGGAGAACTAAAGTGGAAAAGCTTGGGAATCACTGCTTTATTTAATCTCTTCTGTAGTTGTAGTTGTCACTACCTTAAATCAACTTCACTATTCTCTTTGGATTATTGCTACAACTTTTAACCTGATCTTTTGTTTTCATTTTTTTAAATGTAGATTATTATAATTTAACTATACTACAAATACATGTGAAGATGCCTGCACAACCATCCCAGTCTCTTTTCTCCTCCTTCTAATAAAATTACCATCCTGAATTTGGTTTCCATCTTTCCTATTCATTTCTTTATAATTTTACTACATATACTTGGATCCATCAGCAGTATAAAGTACTGCTTTACAAATATGTAAACTTCATAGAAACAATATTGGATTTTTAAAAAAAGATTTTATTTATTTATTTTAAGACAGAGGGGGAAGGAGGAAGAAAGAGAGAAACATCAATGTGTGGTTGTACTCATGTGTCTCCATTGGAGACCTGGCCTGCAACCCAGGCATGTGCCCTGACTGGGAATTGAATCAGCAACATTTCAGTTCATGGGGTGGCACTCAATCCACCGAGCCATACCAGCAAGGGCTAGATTTTATTTTTCTATCATTTTTCCTGTCAATTTATTTCAGAAGTTGATACATGTATGGGTATCATTTTTTTCACTGTTGAATAGTAATCCATTATAAGCATATTACACAATTGATTTATTTCTTATGCTATTATTGTATACTGGGGACATCCAAACAAACAGAATCGTGTCTATAGAATGGACACAAAATCTCTTAACAATCTGTTTGTCTAGTTAGGACTTCAGCGTAGGGCAGCAGTGAATATGGGTAACTTGTAAGGAGAATGAAGAGACTACAGAGATTAGTTTGCACATCTTAAACACAAACAAAACTGATCTTTAAAAAGCACTCACAAGACATACTTTCAGGGGTCATTCCTATAGTTTGTTAAAAAAGCACTCACCTTGTCAAATGCATCATTTGAATCAGAAACTCTGTCCTCTGACAGATATTAGTGGGAAGCTGACTTTGGACAAATTAGTTAGAAGTTAGTGGAACAATCAGGATAACGACAATAATAATAATCTATATCAGTGTGTTTACAGAGAACTTTCAGGTTATATTTGTTAAAGAGCTAAGAAATTAATGTAACAGAGGATAGATAATTGTTTTGGTAAAAGTGGTGGTGCTTTGGTGGGGCTACTGCAGCCCCACCTCAGCTTTATTTTGTGGGCCCAGGATTCTTGGCGGTGCACCTCAGACTTTCTTATTTATAATATGACATACTAAGCTTGCTTTCTCAAGTAAATAAGATGCTCACATTGATTGTTGGGGGACATCCCATATCATGTTGAGCAAACCCTACAAATTATCTTGCAGAGCAGAATCTGATTTCTTCAGACTTCCAGCCAAGATGGAAGTGTAGGTAGATACACTTTGCCCCCTCTCACAACCAAAAGAAGGACAACAAATTTAAAAACAAAAAATAACCAGAACTGCCAGAAAATCAAACTGTATGGAAGTCTAGCCAAAGAGTTAAAGAAGAAACATTCATCCAGACCAGTAGGAGGGGCAGAGATGAGCAGCTGAAGTGGAGATGGCAGCAGATGGAGGACCAGGTGGGCGAGGAAGCAGCTGGCCTACGGGGCGGACCCACACTTGCATGTGGATAAACTAGGAGGGACAGCTGGGGAGTGGGACAGACTATGCAGTCCAGGGCTCCAGTATGGGAAAAGAAAGCCTCAAAACCTCTGGCTATAAAAGTTCTGCCAGAGATGCGGAGGCAGGAGAAACTCCCAACCTCAAAGGAGAGAGCCACGGGGTCCCAGAACGTACACAAACCCACCCACCTGGGAATCAGTACAAGAATGGCCCAATTTGCTTGTGGGTAGCAGGGGAAGTGACTGAAAGTGGGCTGAGAGCCCAGCAAGAGGCATTGTTCCCTCTCAGACCCCACCCCCACATACAGCATCACAATGCAGTGATCTGGGTTGCCCCACCCTAGAGAATACATAAGGTTCTGCCACTTCCAACATAAGAGGCACTCTGAGACAAAGAAATAGGGCCCAAATGAAAGAACAGGTCAAAGCTCCAAAAATAAAACTAAGCAATGAAGAGATAGCCAACCTATCACATATACAGTTTAAAACATTGGTAATCTGGATGCTCACAGAAATGGTTGAGTATGGTTGCAAAATGGAGGAAAAAGTGAAGGCTATGCAAAGTGAAATAAAGAAAAATATACAGGGAACCAACAGTAAAGGGGAGGAAACTGGGACTCAAATCAACGATTGGGAGCAGAAGGAAGAGATAAACATTCAATCAGAATAGAATGAACAAAAAAGAATTCAAAAAAATGAGGAGAGGCTTAGGAACCTCTGGGACAACTTTAAATGTTCTAACATCTGAATCAGGGGTACCAAAAAAAGAAGAGGAAGAGCAAGAAATTGAAAACTTATTTGAAAAAATAATGGAGAACTTTGCCAATCTGGTGAAGGAAATAGACTTCCCAGGAGATCCAGGAAGCTCAGAGAGTCCCAAAGAAGTTGGACCCAAGGAAGCACACACCAAGGCACATCATAATTACATTCCCCCAGACTAAAAATAAGGAGAGAATCTTAAAAGCAACAAGACAAAAGGAGACAGTTACCTACAAAAGAGTTCCCATAAGAATATCAGCTGATTTCTCAAAACAAATCTTGTGGGTAAGAAGGGGCTGGAAAGAAGTGTTCAAAGTCTTGAAAGGCAAGGACCTCCATCCAAGATTACTTTATCCAGCAGAGCTATCATTTAGAATGGAAGGGCAGATAAAGTGCTTTCCAAATAAGATCAAGTTAAAGGAATTCATCATAACCAAGCCCTTATTATATGAAATGTTAAAGGGACTTATCTAAGAAAAAGAAGAAGATCAAAACTATGAACAGTAAAATGACAACAAACTCACAGCTTTCAACAACTGAACCTAAAACAAACAAAAACAAAAACCAACAAAGCAAACATCTAGAACAGGAACAGAATCACAGAAATGGAGATCAGAGGGGAGGGGAAGGGGGAAGACTGGGAGAAAACGTACAGGGAATAAGAAGCATAAATAGTATGGGCCCCTGAAATTGTTTACATTCCAAAATCACTTTGTATTCTGAAAGATACCAGCTTTTCTCATCTCCTCAAATTCTTTCATGGAATCATAATTTCTGTAAAAATCTGCACATGCCTTCTTTCTTGGTTCAGCCACAGCAAACTTATGGAATGTTGAAACCCCCAGTGATACAATGATGGCCCCAACATATAAAATCACAGACACTAGGCCTCACATTTGAGGTTTCGTCAAAGCACTGGAAGTTATGGTAGTTACACTCTCCTCAACACCAACGTCCTTCCTGATGGAGAAATGGACCTAGGGCAGATTATTTCTGAACTAATTTATCTCCGCAGTTTTACTTTTATTTCACGCAACTGATTTTTATTGTGTTCATTATATGCCAATTTTGTACTAGGTCCTGAAAAATATAGTCCCTTTAATCATAGAGCTTAACATCTAGCACATTTGCTTATAAATTATTTGAATATATACAAGTGAAAAAAATAGCATATACCCCAATATATGAATATTAATTTATTCAAAATTATGTTAACTATTATATTACTATATTGTACACATTTTGAAAATGTTTCTATGAAGTTCTACTTTTACATGAAACAGGTTCTAATAATTCTTCTCTCACCTCAGTGTTTCAGGAATAGATAATCTAGTATATTCTTTCCCCCACACCAGGGTGTTTCAAGGTGAACAACTCCTAGGCTGCAGGGTACTGCTGCTTTGTCAGTGACTTTGCTCCTGTTTACTGAGCACAGCAATGATTTTAATAATCCTGGTCTCCTGACATAGCCCGATGATGATCTGACTACCTTTCCTTCATGGTGTTCCTTACTTTAAGCCTCAAGTTGTTTGGGCTTGTTTCTGAAATTGCAAATATGTATCAAAAGCCCAACTGATCACAGTTCCTGAGGCTGCATTGTTAAGTGTACTTAACCCAATAGAACTCAATTGTTACTGATGAATTTTCGTAGTCTTTTAATTTTGGGTCTGTGTTTAATATATTCACGTTATTTTTTAAAAGTTATAAAAAGGATAGTGGCTAATTCCTTCTGTTAATAGTTCTATTTTTGGCAGGTTTGTTCACTCCTGAGTTCATCATGTTATCTCCTGAGGCAATTAGCATGCCCTAGGGAGGAGCGTGTGCCATGGCTCTGGACCCACATAAACCTGTATCTCTATTAAAATCTTAAATCTGTTAGATCAGTCTGTAAACAGGCACGTGCTCTGTAAGTCAAATTATATGCTGTGATTTGGACAGGATAGGACAGGATAGGACTCTTTATTCTAAAATAGAAATATAAATAAATTATGCACACTTGTACAGCACAGCTTTTCAAGACTTTTGAGCTTATTTAATGGCAGGTCCACTCACTCACAGGTCTTTAAGTCGGGGAGGGAATCACATAATCATCCCAACAGATACAAAAAAAAAAAAGTGGCAAACTTCACAAGAATTCATCATAAAAATTCTCCACAAAATAGATAGGGAGAGAATTATTTTTTAGCCTGATAAAGGGCTAAATCTATGAAAAATCCATAGCTAACATTATACTTAAGCGTGAATAACTGAATGCTTTCCTGCTAAGATTGAAAACAACACAAAGATACTCACTCTCTTCTTCTCTATTGAAGTTTTTATTGAAGTACTTCTCTATCACAACAAAGCAATGAGAAGAAATAAAAGGCATACATGTTGGAAAGGAAACAGTAACAATATGATCATCTGCCTGGAAAACCATAAGGAACCTAAAAAAAAAAAAGGTATTAGAAATGACTGGTGTTGTCCAGTGGGTTAAGTGCCAGCCTGCAAACCCAAAGGTCACCAGTTTGATTCCCGGTCAGGACACATGCCTGGGTTGCAGGCCAGGTCTCTGATTGAGGACATGCAAGAGGCAACTGACTGATGTTTCTCTCTCATGTGGATGTTTCTCTCCCTGTCTTTCTCCCTCCCTTATCCTCTCTCTAAAAATAAATAAATAAAATCTTTTAAAAAATCTGTTTTCTTTCTCTTTGTATATAATAAAATATTCTTTAAAAAAAAAGAAATAAGTGCTTTTAGCAAGTTCACAGGTTGGTTATAAGGTCAATATACAAAATCAATTGTATTTCTATGTACTATCGATGAAGAGTTAGAAAATAAAATTTAAAAAACCAATATTACTTACAATCAAGTGGAAAAAACATTTTTATGTCCTTTAAGAAATGATTTTATAGACAAGATCCAAAAAGCTTTAACTACAAAAACCAAATTGATGAATTGAATTTTATTAAAATCGAGAATTTCTATTCTTCAAGACACCATTAAGGAAATGATAAGGCAAGCCAGAGACTGAGAAAAACATACACAGATATCACAAAGGAATTGTACCCATAATATATAATGAACTCTTACAGCTTAGCAAGGAGACAAACAACCTAATAAAAAATGAACAAATACAGACTTTAGAAAATATATAAATAACCAATAAGCACATGAAAAGATGTTCAACATCATTAATAATCAGGAATGTGTAAATTAAAATCACGATTAGCCCTGGCTGGTATGGCTCAGTGGATGGAGCGTGGAAAAGTCGCTGGTTTAGTTCTGGTCAGCGCTCCGGCCTGGGTTGTGGGCCAGGTCCCAAGTTGGGGCGTGAGAGAGGCAACCCATCCATGAGTCTCTCACACATTGATGCTTCCCTTCCTCTTTTTCTCCCTCCACCCTCCATTACCTTCTCTCTAAAAATAAATAAATAAAATCTTTTTAAAAAATCATAGTTAGATATTACAACACATCCACAGAAATGACTGCAACTGAAATGGCTGACATTACCAAATGTTGGTGATGATGCTGAGTAACTGGAACTCATATATTCCTGGTGAGGTCATAAACTGGTACAATACTTAGGTATTTTCTTTTTTTTAGAGGTTTTATTTATTTATTTTTAGAGAGAGGGGAAAGGAGGGAGAAAGAGGGAGAGAAGCATCCGACGTGTGAGAGGAATATCAACTGGTTGCCTCTTGCATGCCCCCAACCAAAGAACTGGCCCACAACCCAGGGATGTGCCCTGACTGGGAATCACACCTGCAACTTTTCGGTTCACAGGCCAGTACTCAGACCACTGAGTCACACTAGCCAGGGTGCACAGTGGGGCATCTTCTTAAAAGTTAAATATATACTCACCAGTTTGATCCAGCAATCCCACTCCTAGGTTCTATACCCAAGAGAAGGAAAAAGAAACATGTTTATGTAAAGAAGTATACACATAGAAAAACCAAACAAAAAAAAAGTGTTACACAATGTTCATATCATCCTTATGCATAATAGCCTAGAATTAGAAATAATCCGAAGTCCATCAGTGGGTGAATGAATAAACAAATTGTAGCATACCAAAATAAAGGAATTTACTCATCTATAGAAAGAAATAGCCCTCTGACACAACTAATCACATAGATCAGTTTTACAGAGAAACTGAGCAAAAACATTGTATGATTTCATTTGTATAAAATTATAGAGCAATATAAACTAAACGATTGTGACAGAAATATCAGTGGTTGTCTGGGACTGGGAATAGCAGGATTAGCAGAGAATTTTGGGGGTGATGAGGATCTTAAATATCTTGATTGTGGAACGGTCACATAAGTATATGTACACATTTTTAAAAACTCGCAAGTTTCGGGGAACAGGACATGGACCTATCTTCAATTTCTTTTAAAACAAAACAGAAGGTGGATCAAGCATTCAATAAGAATTCTAATGGAAATAAATTCAAATTACATACCAATTTAACTATTGCATGCGTGTCACCTGTGAGTGTGTCTTGCTGTATTAGTTTCCTATAGCTGCTGTAACAAATCTCCACGAACTTAGTGGTGTAAAACAACATAATTATCTTACAGCTTTGGTGGTCAGAAGCATAAAATAGGACCTCACTAAAATCAAGATGTTATCAGGGCAACATCCCTTCACAAAGCTCAAGGGGAGAATCCACTTCCTTGCTTTTTCCAGCTTCCAGCTGTGCTCATGCCTTGAATCATGGCCCCCTTCCAGCCAGGAATCACACCGCTCACATTTCTGCTTCCATCTTCATGTCTTTCTCTGACTGGCTCTTTTGCCTCCCTCTTCAAGGGTCTCTGTGATTGGATTGGGACTACCCAGATGATCCAGGCCATCTACCTCCCTACCTCAAGATCCTACACTAATCACCTCCTCAAGTTACTTATGCCTTTATAGGGTAACGTACTTATAGGTTCCAGGGATTAAATGGTGAACATCTTCGGCCGGGGGGTGGGTCATTATTCTACTTACCACACATGAAATTCTTGGCTTCTCAAGGGCCTTCTTCTGCGATGTGGCACTCTGCTCCTTCTTCAACTCTCACCTGCCATCCCAAACAACTGCTTAATCTGGTGGGGGCTCTATGAAAGCTTGACTTTCATAATTAAGGAAAGTCTTACATTTAGGACTCTGGTGTTGATTTCATAAGATTTGAGATTCAAGGTTCAGGAGCTCTAGACCTGGCTGCTGTGGCTCTGAGTTGAGTGCCGGCCTGAGGAGCAAAGGGTCACTTGCTCGATTCCCAGTCAGGGCCCATACCCGTGTTGCAGGCCAGATCCCCACTTGGGGGGCACGTGAGAGGCAACCACACATTGATGTTTCTCTCCCTTTCATTCTCCCTCCCTTTCCCTCTCTCTAAAACCAACCAACCAAACAAATAAATAAATAAGTCTTAAAAAAAAAAAGCTCCGGAGCCCTAGATTTGAGTCCTCGATTCTGGGAATGTGTGCTAAAACTCAGAGGAACTTGATCCAGGTATTGGGCAACAGGAGGCAACGGCGATAGGGAATGTGTATAGTATTCACTCTCTAGAGGAGGATATGAAAACCTAAGTGGATTTGGCCTTACCTGACTCAGAAGCCAAAGTCCTTCTGATTTTGCATCTATCAGTGCCCCTCCCCTTTCTAACAGGGTTTGGGCCAAAGAGCAAAATAAGAGGAAGTTATGAATAAATGAAAAGTAGCTGAAGAACAAGGCCAGTTCACCAAGAAAAATGATGTGTCAGTCTTGCCTTAGCCTTAATTTAAAGGAAAGGAAAGTTTTTAAAATTTAGATTTTATTAGGGAAGAACTTTATAATTTGGATATCCTCAGGGACTTACTCTACAGCATTAATTCTTTGTGTCATAGGCTGTCTTGAAACCCCACACCATGTATCTCTTAATCTGCTACCTGTTTGTACAGCCTAGATACCAAGTAAGTGCCCGAGACTCAGGAATGAGTCATTCTCTGCTCAAGCAGGTAGCAGTCGTCACACCAGAAAAGAATGTTAAGGCGTTGCCAGCCAGAGAAATCAGTGCAATATATTGTTCCAGGGGAAAAAGGTTAGTGGCAGGACGCCATGGCTTCTGACAAAGTTAAAATGGATCGAGGTCCTGGTAAGATTCATATTCTTGAAAAGAGCAGAAACTCTGTGTGTGTGTGTGCGCGCGTGTGTGTGTGTGTGTGTGTTGCTTGTGTCCTTGGGCATTTTCCAACTGTCCTACTTATTGTTACATTAATACTATTCTTTTAAAAATATAATTTTATTTATTTTATTAAAAATTATCTGCCTTCCTGTAGGTATTATTTTTTGTTTTTGTTTTTATTTTTTTTGTTCTTTTTTGGTATTATTTTTTGAAGGGATTAATCTGCTGAAGTTTTGCCAGAATGGTGACTGGCTATGCTTGGTTTTAAATATGATTTATTATTATTATTATTATTAATAAGTATTCATATCCACAAATAATTTTGGTCAAATGACACTAAATCAATGCTTGTTTTGCCGTAATAAAAAATTAAGGAAAATATACAACTCTTAAATAACTATTTAAGATAACAACAGAAGTGATAGCACAGGGGTATATAAATTATCTAAGGTTTACTTAGTTAACTTTAGGAAAATTCTCGAGAGAGGAAGAACATGTCAGACTGTGGAAGGAAATAATTTTAAAATCAGGTGGGATTTGAACTGGATTCTAAAAGGGTAGAGTTAAGCTGGCAAACAGAAGGCTATTCTAGTTTGCTTGACACAAGACTTTGATAGAATTTACAAAAATTGTGTTTGAAATATACTGAGTAAACTGGTTAGGCTAGAGAAGAATTTGTGGAAATAATCTACAGTGAAATTAGAAGGCAAATTTGACATGTTATTACAGAGGGCCCTGAATGCCAAGCTAAGGAAACTGAAGTTGATTTTTTCTGGTAAGAGAAAATCTCTGGAGAACTCGTGAATAGTATGGAGATGACCAAAACAATGCTTTAGACACATTTACTTGGCATTTGATTCCTTTTGGACTGGAAGCAGAAAAAACTGGAAGCAGGAAGACCAGTTAGAAGACTAGTGCAAGAGTGTGGGCATGGCGTGATTGGGGATACTACAGATATCAGTCTTGGATTTTAAGAAAGAGCGTTTTTTTCTCCATCATATTTTCTCTCTTTTAAAATTGTCTTGTGAGTGTCATGTTGGGGGAAAGACTAAAAACATCACATAGCTGAAGTACAAGGTTAATTTCCCTAGACTTCCTCAAACAGCGGTGTGTTTTATCCCTCTCAGCATCGTGGCTCGTGTGACTGGTATCTTTGCTTCACATCCCAGGGGTAGACACTGAGGATATATCTCATTCTCTTTTTCTGAAGTTCCCACTGGTGCTTCACCTCCTTCAAAGCAAGTGCCCTCCCATCATCAATATGACCTTCTTCTGCAGGCATGGCCTCTCTGTTTCTGTAAGGCCCTCTGGAGTAGATCAGCAGGTTCGACGGCCCTGATCAGGATTAAGTTCTAAGCAGTGCCCATTCCAAGGCCGTCCCTTTTCTCCTCCTTCTGAGCACTCAAGTTCCCTGTTCTTTCTTTTAAGGGTGAGGTTTATTCTTCAGGTCTAGTGTTTCTTGACTCTGTTTCCTAGATATCTGGGGGCTTACATACCATCTTAATGGCAGAAAAAGGGAGGGAGAAGAGTATTTATGGAAAAACAAAGAACTTTTAGGAAACACAGACTGGCCCTTAGAGAATAGATGGCACATAAAATTGTTCTGTGACAATGTCTGCTTGACCAGGTGTCACTAATGCTAAGAATCAATCTACTCTGGTTGCTCCAGGGGATGGGACTTATAACAATTAAGTTCTTTTTTTTTAAGATTTTACTTATTTATCCTTAGACAGGAGTGAAGGGAGAGAGAAAGAGAGGGAGAGAAACATCAATGCGTGTTTGCCTCTCACAAACCCCTTCCTAGGGACCTGGTCCGCAACCCAGGCACATGCCCTGCCTGGGAATCGAACAGGCGATCTTTTGCTTCTCACAGGCTGGTGCTCAATCCACCAAGCCACACCAGCCAGGGCTTTTTGGGTTCTATATTTTTTGTGTTCTTTTGATTGACTCTGCTTTTTGGAAAATAAGAAATTTCAGAGGGGAAACATCTAATTGCAAATATTTTCAACTTGAAAGAATTTTTATGCCAATTCTGGACCCCTCAACATGTAATAGGGTAACTTGGCCAGTGTTTCAATAATATTAAAACCTGTGCCTGCGTGGAGCTAGGAAGATGTGCAAGACCTGTTGATGTAATTGGGAGGCAGCCCGCCTCCCCCTTTACAGGGCTTCCTTGAGAGTTTGGAGATGGTTCCTTCCACCCCACGGGGCCCGCCTGCCCCAGTTTGACAGCCAAGAAAGGCAGAGAGTACAGAAGTGCTAACAGGTGTAGCCAATTGTGGGAGGAGTCAGAAATGGGATTACTGAGGAGGTTCCAGGCTGGGATTTAAACAAAAAGACAGGGAGCCATTTGGGAAGGGAGACAATATGGGACCAAGGGGCGGGGGGGGGGGGGGGGACGGGGGGAGGGAAGAGAAGACTCTTGGCAGCCGGCCAAGTGGTTTTGGACTAAGAACTGGAGATCGCAGCAACATAGCTGATGGTGCTGCGAACCTGGGGAGACCTGCCCAGCCGAGCACGGATAACTGGCAGGAACCGGGAGAAGTGAGCTGCGGACTTCTGTTTTTTTTCTGAAAGATGGTACTTCTGGCTGGCACGTTCTGAGACCGGCCTGACTGGCCAAAGTGGGGAGGGCCAGGACTGTGTGTTTGTGGGTATATTTTTGTTTCTAAAGGGAGTGAGATTTAATGGCAGAATTCCGCCATTATTCTAAAACCTGTATAACTTTTAATTAAATAGTTCCTTTCCTTTTTACCAAATTCTGGCATTGAGAACCACAGTTCCTAACACAATGGTGGGCAGGAAGAACCTAGAGGAACAAAAGACCCCAGGGGCGCGCGCGCGCGCGCGCGCACACACACACACACACACACACACACACACACACACCCCTCCCCCGCCTTGAGCAGAACACTTACTATTTTGGAGAAAGTGTCTCCCAGATGTGACTCTTCGTGGTTCAGAAATAGCACCTGAGAGTTAAGGTTTGGCTCGGAGTGTGGGCTGAATCTCCTGTCTGCACCTCCACACAGCCGCTTCACCCTCGGAGTAGGAGGGCCTTTCTTGTCTCTCTGTGACCCACTGAGTAGGGGTATCATGTGGGAAAACCTTAGGTCCTGTGTCTCTAGTTTCATGGACGTCTGCTTTCTTGGAAAGGAGACATTAACGATGGTAATTGAGCCTTTTAATGCCTCTCCAGACAAATTTTAGTTTCCAAATAACTAGAGAGGAAATCCTTAATATGAGTCCTTGTAGACAAAATAAATGGCCTATGTTCTCCCAAATAAAACAAATGAGTTTTATTTATGCTCTCCAAGATTTGGAATTCTGCACCATGTCTATTCTGAATCCAGGTCAGATCAGTGCCCATTTCATCCCCAAAGCCCTGAGTCTTGAGAAGCATAATCCTCTAAATTCTAGTTCTTTTACTTGAATCATTCCCACACTCTCTAGAAGACCCTATATGGTCAGGCTCATCTCCTATCATTGTATATCTTTTTTTTTTTTCATCTTCACCTTTCTGCTGATTTTAGAGAAAGGGGAAGGGAGGGAGAGAGAGAGGGAGAGAAATATTGGTGTGATCGGTTGCCTCTTGCACATGCCCTGGCTAGAGACAAAGCTGCAACCTAGACTTGTTCCCTGACCGCCAATCGAACCTGCAATCTTTCAGTTTCAGACAATGCCCCAACCAACTGAGCCACACTGGCCAGGGCTACCATTGTATCTCTTGATCACTCTAACCTAGCAAGGCTGCTCCTTGCCCTTCTTTAAACATGTCATTATTTTCCCACCTTAGGTTTTTGCACTTGCTGTTCCCTCTTCTTGGAATGCACTTCCTTGATGTTCACATGTCTTGCTTCACCTTCCATTCAGGCTTCTGCTTAAACATGTCTCTTCAAAAAAGCCTTCCCTGACCAATGTCTACAAGGTAACCTTGTTCCGCCTTCACCTTTGATATCCTTACAGTACTCTTCATAGCACTGGTCACTGCTAACTTAATATGTGTATTTAGTTACTTACTCTCTCTCTCCCCCTGTAGAATTCAAGCTCTGTCCACATGAAGATAAGGACTTATTTTGTTCCTTGTTTCTCCTTAGAAGAGTGCCTAACATTTAATAGGCTCTCAAAATTGGTTGAAAGGATATACAAGTGAATCTCCCCCTATGTTTTCTAGGCTGTATTTTGCCAAGTTCCAGGGGTGACTTACCTGCTGGTCACTAATATCCTCTTCTTGGCTGTTCTGGGTATTTTGCCCCACTGGGATAGTAAATTGAAGGGCACAAGGACCAACTGGGCTCCTGGCAATTCCAGGAAGTCTTTTGACTGAAGGAGGGACCAGGAGTACAGTAGCCCTCCCTTACCCATGGTTTCACTTTCCATGGTTTCAGTTACCTGCAGTCAATTGCAATCTGAAAATAGTCAATAAAAATCCAGAAAAAAACAATGCCTAATTTGTAAACTGTGAGTCTTTCTGCTCTGTCCCACCCAGGATGAGAATCATCCCTTTGTCCAGTGTATCCACGCTGTACACGTTCCCAGCCGGCCAACAGCCGCACAGCAGCCCTCTAGGCTACTAGACTGACTGTCGTGGTACCACAGTGCTTGTGTTCAAGTGACCCTGATTTTACTTCGTAATGGCCCTGGAGCACAAGAGTAGTGATGCTAGCAATTCAGAGTTGTCAAAAAGAAACCATAAAGTGCTTTCTTTAAGTGAAAAGTATGGTACAATAAGATTTTTTGAGAGAGAGAGCACATTCACATAACTTTCATTATAATATATTGTTATAATTGTTCTATTTCTTATTAGCTATTGCTGTTATTCTCTTACTATGCCTAATTTATAAATTGTAATTTATAAATTAAACTTAATCATAGGTATGTATATATAAGAAACAACATAGTGTATATATATAGACTTCAATACTATCTGTGGTTTCAGGCATGCACTGAGGGGTCTTGGAACGTATCCATCGTGGATAAAGGGAGACTACTCTATCCCATTCTCGGATACCTTGCGGATTGGGAACTGATGTCATACCACATCAGCTTTTATTTCCTAACTCCTAGTTCTGCTGATGACCCCACTATTCTGTTCTTCTCTAAGAGCAATGATTATTGCTTATTTCTCTTCCTCCTTCCAGGTTAACATGATTGAAAGAGAGAATTTTGCCATCCTTGAGAGCTTCAGTTGAAATCTGATTCTCTTTCACTGGTTCAACGATATCTTTCTCTATGCTCTTTGCAAATGCCTTTTTTCACTCATCACTTAGGCAGATGTCTTTTCTCCTTTCTCTTGAGTTGTAGTTTAAAAAATATATGTATATTAAGCCAATGGTTTCCCAGGGATCCTGAAGGAGGGCTCGGGAGTTCAGTAGTCCTCCCGTATCCATGGTTTCAGCTACCTGCAGTCAATTGCAGTCTGAAAACAGTAAATAAATAGTGGTATTTTAAATAAGACAATCATAGTTTAAAACGTGAAGACTTAATAAATATTACAGCCCTGACTGGTGTGGCACAGTGGTTGGGTGTCATCCTGCAAACTGAAAGGTTCTGGTTACTGAAAAGGTTAATACCCAGTCAGGACACATGCCTGGGTTGCGGGCCAAGTCCCCAATTGGGGGGGCATGTGGAAGGCAACAGATAGATGTTTCTCTCATACATTAATGTTTCTCTCCCTCTTTTTCTCCCTTTCCCTTTCTCAAAAAATAAATTAAAAAAAATCTTTTAAAAATGTTTATAGAAAAAGAAATAATACAGACTGGCTCCTTGTACATTTTTCTCAGTTCCCCCAAAGTTACATTTAAAAAAAAATTTTAAAAGATTTTATTTACTTATTTTTAGAGAAAGGGAAAGGGAAGGAGAAAGAGAGGGAGAGAAATGTGTGGTTGCCTCTCACACACCCCCTATTGGGGGCACCTGGCCTGCAACCCAGACATGTGCCCTGACTGGGAATTGAACTGGCAACCTTTTGGTTTGCAGACTGGCACTCAACCCACTGAGCCACACCAGCCAGGGCCAATAGTTACATTTTGTAAAACTATAGAATAATATCACAACCAGGACATTAATGTTGACACAATCCACAAATTTTATTAAAATTTCTCCATTTTACTTGCACGTGTGTGTGTGTGTAGCTTTACACAATTTTGTCACTTGCATAGGTTTGTGTATTTCCCACCACAGTCAGATCTGAACAGTTTCGGTGGTACAGATCTGTTTCATTGCCCTTTTATAACCAAACCCTCTTCCCCCCTGCTTCACTCCATTCCTAAGCCTTGATAACTATTGATCTGTCTTTACTTCTAAAATTTTGTCATTTTAAAGTGTCAATGAAATCATACAGTATGCAATCTTTAGAGATTAACTTTTTCCCCCACTCAGCATAATTCCCTGGGGATTCATCCAAGTTGTTGCATATATCAATAGTTTGTTCCTTTTTACTGCGGAGTGGTATTCCATGGTATATATGTACCACAAATTGTTTAACCATTGACCTGTTGAAGGATGTCTGGGCTGATTCCAATTTTTTAATATTACAATAAAGCTAATATGGACATTTGTGTACAGGCTTTTGTGTGAACATAAGTTCTCCTGCCTCTAAGATAACTGCCTAGGAGTGTAATTGCTAAGTTGTAGGGTAGTTACATTTTTAGTTTATTTTTCTAAGAAATTGCCAAACAGTTTCTCAGAGTGACTGAATTAATTTACATTCGCAGCAATGTATGAGAAATCCAGTCTCTCTCTCTCTCTTTCTCTTTCTCTATACATACACACACACACACACACACACACCCCCCACACACACACATAGATACACACACAGATATAGATAGATAGATAGATAGATAGATGTCTATTCTGTGGTGGAGTAGATATCCAGTGAAGTTCATTTAGTCATTTACTCAGTAAATTAGAGTCTGGAACCAAAGATACATAATCCATGTCTCACATAATTTACAATTCAGTGTTACTATAGACATGCAAATAGGTAATCATGAGGTAGCATAATAACCGCTATGATGAAGGAAGTGCAGGGTGCTGTGGAGACACATAGGAATTATATTTAGGAGGCCCTTAAAAGTGATGCTTTCATTGTACTTAATCATTCTGTTGGAACCTTAAGGAAGATTACCTGGCTTGGGCAAATAGATTTCAGCAGGGCCCTTAAAAATCTTGCTTTCCTTGATGCAATGAGCTGGTCCAATCCAATTAATCCAGAAGAGAATCTTCTAACTCCATTTTCTGATATGGTTTGCGGTTTTAGAAAAATAGAGCATTTTTTTTTTAAATTTGTATATGGATGTTATTTGACATATTCATCTCTTGGTCAACAGGTCCTTCAGCTGGCGATCCCACCTTAAGGTAAGAATAGTGCTATCATATTTTGCATTTAATTTGACCAAGAATAAGTGGATATTTAAAAGTTGGGGGACTACCCTGGCTGGGTAGCTCAACTTGTTGGAGCGTTGTTCCAGTACGCCAAGGTTGTGGGTTTGATCCCTGGCCAGGGCACATGCAGGAGTCAACCAATGAACGCATAAATGAGTACAAAAACAAATCAATGTTTCTCTCTCTTAAAAATATTTTTAAAAAGAGTTGGAGAACTATAGCTTTTTTTTTTTATTGTTCTTTTCCTCTTTTACCATACTCCCATTCTTTTTCTTCCCTTTTCCAGCTTCATTCTCTATGATGATTGCTTCCTATGTCTTTGCTCCTATGTCTTTTGTTTTTTGTTTAAATAAATTACCTTCTAGCTTTGTTCTGTTATTGTCATACTATTCTCTTCTCTCTTTAAATCACATGTTTTTATAATCATTAGTGAAAGGTCTAAGGAACTGATTTGTCACTTTGATTTCATCTTCCTATTTTATATTATATGCCCATTTTCCAGACATATCACTCTAACAGGGACACTTTTGTCAAGGAATATACAAGTATTATCTCATGATGGATAGAAGGACTCATTTATGTAATGAATGTGATATTTTAGGGGTGAGTGAGAAACACTAGAATGTAACAAGCTTATAACTCAACCACATTGAAAAGGAGAGTCCTCAACACAATCCTGAGTTTCTCTAGTCAGAACTTTGACATACAAAGAGTGTTAGATCTAAAGATGTCATTTACAGCAAATTGAATTTCTTTCATATGAAGTATTAGTATACAGAATTTAATGTGGAGGAATCCTGAGGCTAAATTACTCTCTTCATAGGCTTGGCAATAGAATTCTGTTGGTAATTTGAGGCCTCTGCACCTGAGGAATGGTAAATATTAACAATTGGGACATGGCACCTGTAAGAGTGGAATAGAAAAATTAGGATATAATGAGAAAATGAACACATTTGTACTTGAATTCAAGACTAACAAGCAATGGTATAGAGAGAGTGGTAGCCAAATGACATGAGTTGGGAAAAATCTGTTCACTGTGTTTGCAATAAAAACTCTGCTAATTCAAGTGGACCTCCCCAGTTCACTTTTAAGACATAGAAAATAAAAGGTTTCCTGATGTGTTGTGTTTTAGCTCTGTCTTATAGAAGTAGTAAATGACTTTTAAAGTTCCTCTAAAAATTGCATGACAACATACATTTTTATATTTTAGGAGAAGAATTGAACCCTGGGAATTTGAAGTGTTCTTTGACCCCAGAGAACTCCGTAAAGAGACCTGTCTGCTCTATGAAATCAAGTGGGGCACGAGTCACAAGATCTGGCGAAACTCAGGCAAAAACACCACCAAGCATGTTGAAGTCAATTTTATAGAAAAATTTACTTCAGAAAGACATTGTTGCTCATCCATCAGCTGCTCTATTATCTGGTTCATGTCCTGGAGTCCCTGTTGGGAATGCTGCAAGGCTATTAGGGAATTTTTGCATCAACGACCTAGTGTGACTTTAGTTATTTATGTAGCACGGCTTTATCACCACATGGATCAACAGAACCGACAAGGACTCAGGGACCTCATTAGCAGTGGTGTGATTATCCAGATCATGAGAGCCCCAGGTAAAAAGAGTAAACCAAGAATCTTAATATTTTAGCATTGTATACATGAAACCTATATAATTTTATTAACTAATGTCACCCTAATGAATTCAATTAAAAAAAAACAACCAAGAATCTTAAGTGTTTATGAGAGATTACAGTGGTGACCTGTTTCCAGGCCAGGAGATTGATTGGAAGTCTCAGGAGTAAATGTTCAAAATAATATAAGAAAGGATCAGGTCTTAAATTTATTGCAGGAAATGTATAAAAAGTACGACTCCTTTTACTGCTTTGCCACTGTGGCCTTTCAGCCACCTCTCTCTTTTTTTTTAAAGATTTTATTTATTTATTTTTAGAGAGAGGAGAAGGGAGAGAGAAAGAGAGGGAAAGAAACATCAATGTGTGAGAGATACATCGATAGGTTGCCTCTTGCCCACCCAAAACTGGGGACCTGGACTGGAACCCAAGCATGTGCCCTGACTGGGAATTGAATAGATGACCTTTTGGTTCGTAGGCCAGCACTCAGTCTACTGAGCCATGCCAGCCAGGGCTCAGCCATCTTGAAATGAACTGCTTTGTCCTTTTTGGGGATTTTGGGGGAGTCTAGCCCATCTGCAGTATCAAATAGGTGAGAGGGCTTTACATATGGGATATTTTTAAGTTTAGCTTTCTTTAAGTAACTTTCTCTTGTATTTGTTGAATGAACTGAGTCTTGTGTTCCCTTAGAGTATGATCACTGCTGGAAGAATTTTGTCAACTACCCACCTGGGAAAGATGTTCACTTGCCAAGATACCCTCCTCTGTGGATGGAGCTGTATGCAGTGGAACTCCACTGCATAGTTTTAGTAAGTTATTTTAAGAGACAAAGATTCCAATGTTAAAAAAAAAATAGTATCCTTCTTCAAAATCTTCCCTGATAATTTTTTTTAATCCTCACTCAAGGACATTTTTTCATTGCTTTTAGAGAGAGGGAAGGGAGGGAGAGAGAGAGAGAAACATTGATTGGTTGCTTTCTCGTCTGTGCCCCAACCGGGGATCGAACCCACAACCTTTCATTTTATGGAACAATGCTCCAGCCCACTAAGCCACACCAGCCAGGGCCTGATAATTTCGACACATACCCTCCTTGCCACTTGTCATTTATATAAAGGCTTAGTTCTTTAGCTACTTGACCTATCTTAAGAAAATGTAAGACAATCTCTTTGTGCAAAGTAAGTAGGAAAGATGAATGGACAAACTGGCCTAAGATATGTGTGGTCTCCCTATTAATTAGATATTATTATTGCTACAACACATATTGGCTCTACAGAATTGCAGATATTCTCCTTTCCCATATTGGTGTGTATCATTCTGTTGAAGAAATGTAGGTGTCCCATTTGTATTCTCTTGAGAGTAGTTCAGTGGTCTTCCAGCTGATGTTATAAAATGTTTGTGGTAATAGTAGGATGAAGAAATATATTATCCTAACTTTTTTTTCATTTCAGGGTCTTCCTCCCTGTTTAATGATTTCAAGAAGATGTCAGAAACAGCTTACATGGTTCCATCTTAATCTTCAAAATTGCCATTACCAAATGATTCCACCCCAAATCCTTTTTGCTGCAGGGGTGATACAACTTCCTGTGACTTGGAGATGAATAAAATGAATCTTTGAAGGAAATGATGATTTGCTGAAGATGGAGTGCCATTAGACTCTAGAAATTTTCAGTTTCTGTATCTTCAATTCACAAACTATAAATTCTAAAAAAAATTAAGACCATCACATTCAAAATAGCATCAGAAACAAAAAATGCACCATCTTTTCAGCCAGAACTGCCATCTTTCAGTAACTAACCAAAATGACTAACACAAAGGGAAAGAAGAGAACCACCTGCTATCTGTTCTCTAGCTCTTTTAAAGTAATACCTTACCCTGGCTGGGTGGCTCAGTTGGTTGGAGTGTCGTCCCATACACCATAAGTTTGCAGGGTAGATTGCTGGTCAGGGCACATACCTAGGCTGCAGGTTCAATGCCCAGTCAGGATGTGAATGGGAGGCAATCTTTCAATGTTTCTCTCATATCAGTATTTCTCTGTCTTTCTCTCTGTTTCCCTTCCTCTCTCTAAAATAAACATATTTTAGGGTGAGGATTTAAAAAAAATACAAATTGTAGAGAATTGAATTACTCCTCCTGCTATTTAAAAAAAATACAGCCCTGCCCTGGCTGGCATGGCTTGGTGGATTGCGTGCCACCCATTGAATCAATGAGTTGCTGGTTCGGTTCCCAATAGGAGCACATGCCTGGGTTGCAGACCAGGTCCCCAGTAGGGGGCACATGAGAGGCAACCACACAGTTGTGTTTTTCTCCCTCTCTTTCTCCCTCCCTTCCCCTTTCTTTAAAAACAAATAAATAAAATCTTTTTAAAAATTCTATTAAAAAAAATACAGCCTTGACTGGTGTGGCTCAGCTGGTTGGTCAATCATCCCCCAAAGCGAAAGTTGCCAGTTTGATTGCTAGTCAGGGCACATGCCTGGGTTGCAGGTTCAGTCCCTGGTCAGGGCACATATGAGAGGCAACCAATCAATGCTTCTCTTTCATGTCAATGTTTCTCTCTCTCCCTTTCTCCATCCTTTCTCCACTCTAAAAATAAACAAAACTTAAAAGAAAAGAAATGCCCCACAAATGTTACCATGACAAAACTGGAAGCGTCTACAATGTCAGCCAGCATACAGTGGGCATTCTTGTGAACAAATAAGTTAAAGGCAAGATTCTTGTCAAAAGAATTAATATATGTATTGAGCATATTAAGCACCCTAAGAGCCAAGATAACTTCCTAAAATGTGTGAAGGAAAATAATCAGAAAAAGGAGGAAGCCAAAGAGAAAGGTGCCTGGGCTCAACTGAAGCACCAGCTTGCTCAACCCAGAAAAGTGTTTTATGGGAATCAATGGAAAGGAGCCTGAGCTGCTGGAACTCATTCCCTATAAATTCATGGCATGACAATTGTAAAAGAAATAAAAGACCTCTGTACTGATTTAAAAAAAAATACATAGGAATAAATTTAACTAAGGAGGTAAGAACTTAAAACAATAAGATATTGATGAAAGAAATTGAAGAAGACACAAATAAATGGAAGGATATCCCAAGTTCATGGATTAGAAAAATTATTATTATTAAAATGTCTATACTACCTAAAACCATCTATCAGTTCAATACAATCTCTAAGACAATTCCAATGGAATTTTTCACAGAAAAAATACAATTCTAAAATTCATATGGAACCACAAAAGAGCTGAATAGCCAAAGCAATCCCAAGAAAGAAGAACAAGGCTGGAAGAATTATAATTCCTGATTTCAAACTGTATTACAAAGCTATAGTAATCAAAAGAGTATGGTACTAGCATAAAAAACATAGACCAGTGGAACAGAATAGAGAGTCTGGAAATAAACCCATACATATGTGGTCAACTAATATTTGGTAAGGAAAGCAGGAATACTCAATGGGGAAAAGGTAGTCCCTTCAATAAATGGTGCTGGAAAAATCGATATTCTCTTGAACCACTCACAGAAATTATTTTAAATAGTTTAAAGACTTTAATGTAAGACCTGAAACCATAAAGGTCCTAGATGAAAACATGAAATTTTGAAAACAAGCTCCTTGACCTTAGTCTTGGCAATAATTTTATGGATATTACTCCAAAAGTACAAGCAACAAAAACCAAAATAAACAAGTGAGACTACATCAAATTAAAAGGCTTCCCCCCAGCAAAAGAAACAATCAACAAAATGAAAAGACAACCTATGAAATGGGAGAAAATATTTGTAAACCACATACCTGATAAAGGGGAAAATTTCCAGAATATATAATGAACTCTTACAACATAATAACTAAAAAACAAAAACAAAAAACAAAAACAATAATGAAAAAAACCTCAACAAATCTGATTTTAAAATGGGCAAAAAACCTGCATAGATATTTTTTCCAAAGATATTCAAATGGCCAACTGCTACTACTGAAAAGTTGGTCAATATTACTAATCATCAGAAAAATGTAAACCCAAACTATAATGAGATAGTACCTCACAACTTTTAGAATTTGTATCATCAAAAAGACAAGAGATACATGTTGGCAAGGTTATGCAGAGAAGGGAACACTTGTACATGGTTGTTGGGAATGTAAATTGGTATAGTAACTATGGAACACAGCATGAAGGTTCCTCAAAAAAATTAAAAATAGGCCGTGGCCAATGTTGCTCAATTAGTTGGGTGTCATCCTGCAAACCAAAAGGTCATGGGTTCAATTCCCAGTCAGGGCACATGCCTGGGTTGAGGGTTTAGTCCTGGATGGGGTGCATGTAAGAGGCAACCGGTTGATTGATATTTTTCTCTTACATTGATGTTTTTCTCCCCTCTTCCTTCTCCCTCCTTTTCCAACCCCCTCTCTTCCATGTCACCAATCCAGTATTTTGCCTTTGATTCCTTCTAGTGTATTTTTCATGTCACTTACTGTATTTTTCAGTTTTGATTTTTTAAAAATATCTTCTACCTCTTTGCTGGACTTCTTGCTGTTCATACTTCTCTTGAGTTTGGTAAGTATACCTATGCCCATTACTTTGAACTCTATCTAGTAGACTGTTTATTTCCATTTCATTTAGTTCTTTTACTGGGTTTTTGCTTCATTATTTTATTTGGAACATAATTTTGTATCTCCTTGTTTTGCCTAAGAGTTTGTGTTTGTTTTGATGTATTAGGTAGATCAGCTACATCTAATGGTATTGAAAGAGTGGCCTTAGGCAGAAGGTGTCCAGTGCAGCCCAGTAGCACAATCTTCACTGGTCACTAGGACCAAGTGTTTCAGGGGTGTCCCCAGTGTGGGCTGCATATGGCCTCTCATGGCAACTAGGTTGAGACTGTTGACTGTTGGCTGGCCCCTGGCCTAGCTGGCTGTAAGGCTTGACTGTCACTGTGGCAGGTGTACTAGTCGGGGAGGGGACTGGCCCCTCAATCCCACTTTGGAAGCACTCTGGTGCCATCCACTGCGTGCTGGCTGGCATGTTGCCACTTTGCAGGCCTGCTGGAGCACCCATGGAATACTGGGAGGTGGGATGCCAATTTGGAGGACCACCAGGGTGTCTGCTGGTTGCTTGGAGGTGGAGAGCAGCTTTGTTGGGTCAACACTGGAGTGGGTGAGGAGACTGGGCTGAGCAGGCCTTCAGGGGAACACTAAGCAGCTGGATAACTAGCAGGGCAGTGGAGAGTGTCAGACCTGGTGCCTGCTAGTTTGGGCCTTCTGGGTGGAGGCAGGACAAACAAAGAAAAATTGGTGCCTCCAAGTGCCTTCTTTCTGGAGAAAGCCTCAATAGATCGTTCTGGCACACTGTCTAAAATTAATCAATATATCTTCTTCACGTATGACCCAAGTGCTTTCCAACCTGCTTCTCGGCGCTGGGACTCAGTGAGCAAGTATGGCATGGGCCCTTAAGGGAGGACTCTCAGTTTCCCATAGCCCCTTCAGCTCTTTGGGACATAAGCCTCACTGGTGTTCACAGCCGTAAGTTTTAGGGGCTCCTCTTCCTGCTGCAGGTCTCCCAGGCAGGAGAGCCTGAATCGATCTCCAACAGCTTGGTCTCTGGGAGGTCTCCCCGCAGTTGTGATATCTCTCTCATTTATAGGATGCCACACCTCTTACCTGTCTCAATGTGGCTTTTTCTTTCTATCTGTAGTTGTAGAGAATCTGTTCTGCTAGTCTTCAGGTCATTCTCAGAGGGAGCTGCTTTATATTTAGTTGTAGTTTTGGTATATTTGAGGGGAGAGGTGAGCCCAGGTTTTCCCTACTGTACTGTTTTGACCTGCCTGCAATCTTTGGAATATCTCTAGGTCATCTAAGAATAGGGGCTTGTGAGGGGAACCCACCCTGTAAGTGGAGAATTGGAACTTTTGAGTCTCACAATTCCACCTCCTGAGAGAGGAGATGGGCTGAATCAATTGCCAATGGCCAATGATTTGATCATTGATACCTATGTAATGAGGTCTCCATAAAAACCCAAAATGACAGGGTTTAGAGAGCTTCTGGGTTGGTGAACACATGGAGATGTGGCAAGAGCGGTGCACTTGGAGCAGGCATGCAAGCTTCATGCCTTTTCTCCATACCTTGTCCTGTGCATCTCTTCCATCTGTTCGTACTGAGTTATATCCTTTTATAATAAACCAGCGATCTAGTAAGTAAAATGTTTCCCTGAGTTCTGTGAGCTACCCTAGCAAATTATTTGATCCTTAGGAAGTAGCCATGGGGACCTCTGATTTATAGCCAGTTGGTTAGAAGTGCAGATGACAATATAGACTTGGATTTGGCATTTTAAGTTAGAGGGGGTTGTTGGAACCTCCATTTGTAGCTGGTTAGTCAGAAACATAGGTGATGATCTGGGCTTGCCATTGGTGTCTGGGGGAAGGGAGGGGGGCAGTATTATAAGACTGAACCCTTAACCTGTGGAATCTTATGCTGTCTTCAGGTAGATAGTATCAGAATTGCATTGAATTGTGGGATATCAGCTGGTGTCCGGAGCATTGCTTGATGATGTGGGAGAAAAACCTTCTCCTCCCCCGCACTGAGTAGAATTGGGTTCAAAAACTAATTCAAGGGCCCACAAAGTGGAGGCCAG